CTTAAATTGAGAAGATAACAAAGGATAAAGTATTCCTCGCGTTGCGTACGCAATTTGGGAAATTAACTTATTAGCTAGGGAAAGCAAATTGCTACTTGGAACTTGGACCAACGTTTTACTACGGCAAAGGCAAAGCATCAAATATATGTACTATTTTACATGATGATTAAGAAATTATTAATAAATCGATCAATTTTATTATTTTGTTCAAGAAAATAAATTTAGATCTTCAAAATTTGGTTAAATTTCCAAAGACCATATTAATTATAGGAGTAAAATGGAAAATAATAATTAATTATGTCTTAATAAGTAAGTAATCAAGTACTCCATCTGTCACTAATTACTTGTCCATTTTTGAATTGGCACACCTATTAAGAAAACAATTATTGATATATTGAGTTTACCATTTTACCCCTATTAATTATGAAGTAGATGCATTAAACACTTGAGATTTTCAAAAAGTTCTACCTTTTTTTTTAAGTAATTAATTGAGGGTATAATAGGTAAAAAAAATTGTCCTTTCTTGATTTGTCAAAATGGACAAATAATTAGGGACAACTAAAAAAGAAAAAAAATGAACAAGTAATTAGAGACAGAGAGAGTAATATGAGACAAATATTTTTAGTAAGATGTCATCTAATATGGGCTCATAAAAATAATCTCTTTTAGATAACTTAAAGTTATGATTTGGTGTTTTCAAGTCACTCAAAAGATGAATATTTACGAATTTCTTAAAATATGAAATTTTGAATGAGTTGTGACTTGTGTACAATGTGAGCCGTATAGGAGTAAGCTCATAATTTATTTATTTTTTTAAAAAGGTATATTTTGTATATATTATAGTAGCTTAATATAGTGAATTTTTTTCCTAAAATTGGAACAACAAGAATCAACATCCTGGTCCCAGATGAATCAAGTGTTAATGATGATAATTAGGTCCACCTGTTAATACCTTGATCAGTTAAGCCATATTAATATTATTAGGGAATAATGGTAGTTAGAAAAAGAGTTATGACTTAACTTTCACTTCTGGAGTCTATGATTGTTGGATGATATATTATATAATTGTTAAAATAATGAAACTTCACTACTTAATTAATACCCAAATAATCTCAAGTACTGGTGACCCACATAATTTTTCAAGTTACTTCATGGGGCCATTAGACTATTTAACTAATAACTTAAGTAGCATTTGGACTCTTTTTAAAACTTATTTTGGGTGTGTGCAAAAATGTTTCTTTAAAAGGAAAAATGTGTTGAAAAAAATTACGACGTGGCGAATATTTAGTTTGTATTTATGATATTTAGCTATAATTTTAAAAAACTAGGAAATGTAACCGGTCTTCTTGGTCATAGAGGTTGACTGTTTGAGGAGCTTTTGTACTCTTGAGCCCTGACCACTAGGTCAAAGGTTCAAGGCTGGTAAATAGAGGAAACATAGTTACATTTTGGGTTTTTATAACAAACACATAATACACATCAACACATGCGCACTGGTATGTACAATATATGTCGATACGATTATTTCGTACATTTTCAACTGATATAATATGTGCTAATACATGTAATACTGTAACGACCGGTTTTCGTCGTTATAAAAAAGCCAACGGGGAAAAATTTTGGACTGAAAAACTTTTTCGTAGTAACTTGGGATCTCCCAACCTAGTCCAGATTTGGACGAAATCAGAGTCTGTGAGGTCTAGGGAAATCTGGTAGCAATTTGGTGATTTAATTACGATTTTGATTACATGAGTAGATAACTAAGACGTTAAGGAACCCGTACGACTTTACGAAATTGAATTTGGGTGAGTAGAACTCCCGAAATTGATCTTAGCGTGAACGGGTAGTTCTGAAAGTCGTTGGTTGAATGTATGTTGTGAAATGGGGTCTTGGAATTATTATTTTTGCTCACTGTTCCATGCAAGCCGCTATGGCGGGGATTTCTGCTGCTAGGGCGAGGCCGCTGTAGCAGGGTGGATGCCGCCATGGCGGGGCAAACACGACTTAAAGTCAGAAATAAACCCCAAAAACGTTTTATTCTACAAATTTCGAACTTGAGAACCAAGGAACGAACCCATGGATTTTCTTAATAGTTTTCCACCATTCTTGAGGCTAAAGGTAAGATTTTCACACCCTGAATCCGTTTTTCGATTCGTAGAACATAATCTAATGAGTAATTATCGATGGGAAAAAGTTTTGATCTGGAAACTATGGTGGAAAAAGCCCTAATCTGGATGGGTATGATCTAGGGTTGATAGGATTGTTAGTAATTTGGGTAATTAGTTATTGTTTATTGATTCCTGTATTATATTAATTGTTTGTAGACCAAGAACAAGCGGAACGAATCCGAAAATGGAGCAATCAAGTTTCTTAGGGGATTTAAGCTTTGTTCGAGGTATGTGATAATTATGATTCTATGATTGTGTGATGTATGTTTGTTCTTGCTTCATTATGATACATGTATGCGAATGTTGCATTATTGATCACATTAGTTGTAAATGAGAATATATGAATGATGGATGTCATGAATCATGACTTGATTGTATGATTATAAGAATGTACTCTGTGATTATGATTGTGGCTTATTGAATGGATCGGGTGTTGCGTTCCGACACACTATCTTGGATCGGTTGACACGTTCCGGCATAATTATGGGATCGGATGCCACGTTCTAGCATAATCATTGGATCGGGTATCACGTTCTGGTATGCTAATAGTTTGGGTTTGGGTTTAGGTTCCATGAGAGTATGGGTGTGCAAAAACCGATTTAACCAATAAACCGAACCGAAAAAAACACTATTGGTTTATTGATATTGGGTTATTGGGCTAACGGTTTTTAAACGGTTTTGCAAATTTTTTTATTGGGTTATTGGTTCGGTTTCCGATTTTTATAATTTTTGTTAATGGTTAAACCGATAACCCAATAAGACTATACTAAATTTACTAGTCTTATTGTTAATGGTTAAACGATTGTTACTTTCATACTTTTTGTTAATGGTTAAACGATTTGTTACTTTTCACACTTTTTCTTTTGAATGTGTCTAGTGTTCTAAACTTGCAAGAAAAATGATTGTTACTTTTATGATTATTACTTTCATGCCAAATGCTGGAAAAATCATATGGTTATTTGAAAATTTTCTTATCGTGTATATAATATATATGAGTATTTCTTATTGGTTAAACCGAAAATCGAACCGTTAAGTACCATAAACCGATTAACCAAAAACCGATAAGAAATATGTTATTGGTTTGGTTATCGGTTTGACGTATTTACAAACCGAAAACCGAACCAATAACACCTAAAACCGAACCGAACCGACCGATGCGCACCCCTACTGATGAGAGGACCAATGACTTGATATAACTGTGATATTTGAGAATCGTGAAATTGTTCGTTGTTCGTAAATGATGATGATATTGTATATGTTCGGTGTATGCATGTTATTATATTGTTATTTTGACTTATATATGTTGCACTTAGTGAGATAGCAGCGTGATCCTACCAGTATACTGTGGTTGTGTACTGATACTGCACTTGCTCTTTTTTTTTGTTTAGTACAGGGCATCTTCAGGTGGCTATTGACAGACCTCGCTTAAAAGATCAGTGATCGTCGTTCGAATTCAAGGGTGAGCCAGTTCTTCCGGGCCGCCATGAGTTATCTTTCTGTCTATGTCCACATTTCGGACTTAGATTTTCTTGTTAGTTGTTAGTACTTTAATTTGGTGTTGTAACCCTTCTTGTTTAGACTTCTGGTTCATTGTTAGAGTTTTGGTATATTGACTTTCAGGTTCTAGTTAGTATTTCCGCATTTGTTTAGTTGTTAGACTTTTGTTTGGAGTTTATGAGAACTCCCTATTTCTTTCCTTAGCATTTAACTTGCTTCCGTAACTTAAATGTTTTAGTATTTTGATTAAGTTGGTTAGCTAATTAGTATAAATGGTTCTCCCAACGGAGGATTAGTGTGGGTGTCAATCACGATGGTCTGGGTCGTGACAAATACTTGTCTAATATATGTTGATATTCCCTAGCTGAATGTAGTTCTTTTGTTAATACCCGTTTGATACAACTCTTTTGCATGATATAATAATTGTAGTTATGTTTCATAATACGCTCTAAACTATATCTATAGATTTTTTTAAAATGTTTTAAGACACCTTTTAACCTAGAAAAAAACTTTCCTAATATTGGTATCTAGTAACCATCTAAGGTGTATTTGAAAAGGGAAAAAATGGTGAAAATTACATATGTCATTATAGATTAATTTTGGATCATTTGACCCACCACATAACCATGATCGTACAACCATAAAAGAAAACGAAAATGAAATGATGAAAATGATATTTTCTTCAATTTATGGGAGGCAGGAGAAATGTATATTTAAAAATGGTGATGTATAAATGAGGAAGTACAATTGAAAAGCCATATATTTTTGGGGGAATGCGTTTCACATTATAGAAAATATGTTCTTTAAATGTTTTATTTGATAAAATTACTTTTTAAATATTTGGTTGCATTATATTGTTATAACTTAAAAATTGGCTTAAGTTTATGCAAACTCACAAGTGGAATTAACTAATTGTAAGCAAGTACCGGCCAGAGTCAACATTATAATAATTGACATTATGGCTAAATTTCAATCTTCATATATTTTATTTTGAAGTTAGGCGTTGTCAAGTTTAATTTCAGACACGATATATTTAAAATTATTTTAAAGTAAATTTAAATATTACGTAGACTTCCCAAATTATGTAGGTGTGAACATTTTGACGAAACAAATGGGCTCAGCCCAATTGACAAGAAACCAAATAAATTGACATTGTCATTTGTCACTCTTGAGTTTGTTAAATGTCGGACGGTTACAAAACAAAATTCCCTCAATAAAATAAATTAAAAATTAAAAAAAAAAATTCAACATACCAAAAAAATAATACTAGTATCAAATTTTGGAATTTGAAGAGAGTAGCATTTTTTTTTTATTCTTAGGTTCAACGTCCAGTCAAATATCATTACACAATCACATACATATTGGAACAGAGAGTATACTCATTAATGGAATTAACTTATTTTTTAAGAAAGTACGTTATACGTACCATCTAGATAAGGTACAAATATGAACCTCTAATACATGAAGGCTCCAATTAAATTTTACAAGAAAAACAAATAAAACACACATTGTTCTTTTGAGTTTATTACATTCTTCTTAACATTAGAATATGCGATGCGCTGACCATACTGTGCTACACCTTGTCTCATCACCTCATCACCCTAGGCAATGATCCGTGAGAACGGATCATGCCTATGGAAACCCAACGGGGTTGGAGCGAGTCGGAGGAGGAGGTGAAGGCTGCTTAGGAATATAAGGCATAAGAGGAGTCCCATGCTGTATAGGCCCTGGTCTTACTGAAGCTTTTGAGCTTGGAACTGGATCTATCGGACGATAATCTTCCAGATTTATCTTTCCTGCATCATCGAACCTGCTTGCTCCATAGCCATTGACCTTGCAGAGTAATACGACTCTCGCATAGTTTAGTTGTGTAATTGACAATTTTCGTGGTAGTTTCAAAAGCAATGTAACAATCTAAGTGCAAGTACCTGTAGCTTTCTGCTTTTGATAGTCACTGTCAATTCATTATGCTCCATTCCTGTGATTCAATTATATAAGAAGGCTACTTAATCAACACACTACTAAAAAATATTACTTCCTCCATTTCAAAAAGAATAATCTCCTTTTCTTTTTAGTTTGTTTAAAAAAGAACGGTGGGTCGTCCCCCATTCCTACGGGTTCCCCCATCGGCCCAGTGACACACCAGCCACGCCCCTTCTCTTTCTCCGATCATAAAGTCCCCTGATCCCTTTATTTGTCTTTCATCCCCCTGAATAAGTAAGACCCTGCTCTTTCGACCTCTTTCCTTATTTGGTAACATTTTTTACTTTCAGCTTTCCACGTGACATGTTTAAAACCACAAAATTAAAGGATAATTTTGTACATTTGACATAACTTTAATTTAGGACCACAAAATTCAAAAAATTTATTTATTTTCTTGAACTCCGTGTTAAGTCAAACTAGACCACTCTTTTTTAAACGGAGGGAGTACTAATAATAATGGTTTCATATGGGAAAATTAGGAAGTTTACCACTATTTCAGTGAAAATCTGTATTTCATCATGCATTTTCTCAGTGAGCTGATTCGATAGAAAATAAATGGAAATTATGTTCTACGGTAAAAATTTGTGAAATTAGGTCTAGCCTAACTCATACTCGAAAAGCTAGCTCAAGACTTATAAAAAGTTCACGCATCTAGTGCGTGAACAATTTTAATACCAAGTGAAATTAGGTCTTACGCCTAACTCACACCCTGAAACATTAGCTCAAATTGCACATTTTCACTCATCTCATTAACCACCTGTGGACTTTTGTTATAACACTTCACAAAATAAAAAATAATTTCAAATATAGCAAATCATATGCTAAAATTTGATAAAAATATTTACCAGGAGTATTCGATGATGTGCCTCCATTGTCATAAGAAACAGAGCAAACCAAAACTACCATTGCCAACAACAAGAGCAAAACAGAGAACCAAACAAAAGTAGTCTTCATAATGTGAGAGTATTACAAAATGCTGAGAAAAATTAATTTATAGAAAAACAAATTGACTAGTACAATATATTCAGCCCATTATTTGAAAAAAGTTTGTTAAGAAGCTGCCTTATTTTCGGATTATATAAAAAAAATAATAAGAGACCAGAAAACCCGTCGAGATAAGAAGAAAAAAGTGTTCTAGCCCATGTTGCAAGCCTATATATGTACATGTATATATAATAATTTTCCGTTCCTTTTCGGTTGTCATGTTTTTTTTTTAGAATGACGATAGGAAGGTTGACTAATATTTCACAATGTGTGTTTTTTCTTAATCATTTTGATATGATAAAATTGCAACTTATAGTATATTTTTATTTTAAAACATTGCATCAAAATAATCTAATTTAGCTTTGGAAGTTAGCCAAATTTTCTCTAGACAGCTGCAATATAACAACTAAAAAGGACAAACATGGGTTGTGGTGCACTGGTGGGAGTTGAACCAGAGGTTCGGGTTCGAGCCCTGGGTATGGAGAAAATCTTGTTGGGAGCGCCACCCCCGAATAGTTGGAGCAACAATGTGGGCTCCGGACACCGGGTGGGAAACCCAATAAAAAAAACTAAAAAGAACGGAAGGAGTAACTTATTACCGTAATAATTTTTTTTAAAAATAAAATAATGAGAGAGGGATACTTATCCAGTTTGAAAAATCACGAGATAATCACTTGATTCCTAACAATAGTCGTTTTTCAATACATTTTCTAAAGGTGATATAATAATATTATCATTCTATTTATTGCTTCTTAAAGGAGCATGTGTCAGATCAACAGTACTGAACAAGTAAAAATAAACGAAGGGAGTATAAAAATAAAAGAATAGTTTTATTTTGTTAAAAAGAGTGGTGAAGATAACATGTGTCGCAGTGCAGGGAGTATTGGGGGTGGGGGGGTGAGGGCAGTAAATGAGAGAGTAATTGCTACTGTATTTGTTTTTGAATTGCATGAGAAAAAACAGTGTGAAATTGAATGCTGAGAGGCTTTTGCAGTCTCAAAACTTTATGGCTTATCGTTACATTAGTTAAATATTTCTTTCGTTTTTACTCAAAAAAATTCATCAGCTAAACGGTAAAAATCTCATGTCCATTCTATTCAACGACAAATTATAAGAAAATGTAATTAGTGATAAATTTCATGATTATTTCTAGTAGTGTCCGTAAATATGGAGTTTCAAACTAACAAAAATCAAAGCAATGAAAAATGGATTTAGTTGATATGGTTTTCTTTGATTTGGTTTGATTTTTCGATTAAAACACCTACGTCTGTCACGGGCTTCACTGTGAATTTAGATAAGAGGCCAGAATTTTGAAGTTGCAGGTAGCATGGCCAATTTGAAAAAACGAGAAATGAACAGTAGATATAACTCATCAATAGCAGTACTCTACTCCTATTATAAATTGCTTTTATTATGACTGACTAAATTACTCATTTTCGTGCTACCATATAGGCATATCAATTAATTTCTGCTCATCCTTAATAAAAATAAGTGACGGCCAGTAGGTAACTTCTTAAAACCTCCTTATGATAATGATTATTTTAGTTGTGGGCATAAGGATATTAGTTTCGAAATAAAATGTAAAATTATTATTTTCGGTTTGATTATGAAAATCAATGCATAGGATATGCCTAACTTTTCAAATTGCAAAAATCAAACCAAATAAGAAGGCCCGGCCCATTATGTTTATAAGTCCAGGCCCATACGTTATTTCTCCCTCATCGTCTGCAGAGAGAAGCTTTGCTGTGTTTATATAACTCAACAACAACATATGTGTTTGTCCCTTCGGGGACATCCGATAAAATTGGAACGATACAGAGAAGATTAGCATGGCCCCTGCGCAAGGATGACACGCACAAATCGAGAAATGGTCCAAATTTTTTTTCTCGCAAAACCCATACATTTTTCTGGCTTCTTCATGATCCTGTGTTTTGCTTCTTGTGTGTGTGTGTATGTAAAAAATCTGTTTTCTGTGTATGTTAAATTAACAAGTTTTAATGATGAATTGTAACTTCTTACAACCTCCTTTATGTGGGGTGGTTTGGTCGCTCGGGAATAATACTTTCGGGATAAAATGTGAAATTAATTTATCTTGTTTGATTATGAATATTAATTAGTCTTGAAAACCATCTATAATCATCAAAATTTATTTTATATCACTTTAAAATTTGTTGCAAACACCATTTTTTGTATTAAAATGGTAAGATACCAAGAGATATCCTTGTCTACACCATTTCGGTTAGGATTGTTCAAAATCGAACTGAAACCGATAATCCCATTCAAAAAAAAGTTATTGGTTTATCGGTAATGAGTTATTGATTTAGGGGTTTCAATAATGATTTTATTTTTTTATTATCGAGTTATTGGTTCTTAACAGTTTGTGGTTTTTTTCTTAATGGATTAATCGATAACTCGATTGTAAATTAATAAATTATATTTATACTATTCAATATATAAAGTCTTTGACTTAGGATTTTGTTTCATACTTTTATTTCTAACTGTCTCAAACTTTCAGTTATTCTACAATATGCAATGTTTGTTTTTAGCAAGATGCAATGTATCAACTCATATGCATGATCCATTTGGTTTATCACCTTGTTTCTAAGTGATTTTTAATTTTTTTGTGTAAAATTTCAACGGTTAAACCGAATGGTCGTTTTATAACAGTTTAGCATATTTACAAATTGACAACTGTTAAGTCGAATCAATAGACTTCAAAACCAAACAGACCGATACATGAACTAATTTCAATAACCAAATGGTACAAGTTGAATATGGGGGCAAATCTGGACTCTAGGCTTAGTTGGGCTCTATGTGCATATAAAAGCAAGAGCAAAAACCTGTAGCTAGGTCCAGGCCCATGCCTTTGGTAAAACTCAATGTGCTAATTCTCCCTCATCGTCTGCAGAGAGAAGCTTCGCTGTGTTTATATAATTGAACAGTAACATGCATGCTTGTCCCTTCGGGGACATCCGATAAAATTGGAACGATACAGAGAAGATTAGCATGGCCCCTGCGCAAGGATGACACGCACAAATCGAGAAATGGTCCAAATTTTTTTCTCAAAAAATCTATAATTTTTTTCTACTTTCTTCATGATCCTTTTTTTTTGTGTGTGTGTATGTTAAAAGTTATTTTGGTGTGCAAATTTGTGTATTGGAAGATTTAGATCAAATGGCATTGGGCAGAACACATAGATGGAAAGAGGAGATGATACCAGGCATTGAGCAACTTATGTAAAATGGACATTATGTATATGAAAATTGAAACAAGAATTTTAAGTTTATGGCTTTGGAATTGACTTTTTAAGTAACAAGATTTTAAATATATATATATTAACCGAATTCGGTACCTTAAAATTTGGAAAGGACATTTTTTAGAGTGATGTGAGTTTTAGGAGAAAAATGCTTCTCATACGTAACAACACCTCGAAGATAGAATAATTCATCTATGAATGTATTATATACAAATATACATAATTATGTATCATTACATAGATATATTTTTTTTTACCAAAGACAAGTTATTCATTGTCCAATAAATTCAAAAAAGAAAGATTTCGTATGTAACAACACTTCGAAGATAGAATGATTCATCTATAAATGTATTACGTTACATATAAATGTACGTATCACTACATATTTTTTTACAGAAAGACAAGCTATTCACTTTCCAAAACATTTTGTATGAAACAACACCTCGAAGATAGAATAATTCATCTATGAATTTATTATATACAAATATAGGTCTCACTAACTCAAGTTCAGAAAAATATCTAAGAAAAACAACACATCCATCTCCAAGAAATTATACGTACTCCACTAGAACCAACTCTCATAAATCTACATGATTAATAGTCTCGTTCCAAATAAGTGAAACTAATTGTATGAAAAAGTTCACGATCATTCGTCTTGCAAAAAGCACACAGATATTTGAGATATGCAAGCTAGAAAAATACAATAAAAATATATTGATCGATCACACGCTACGACAAATGAAGGGAGCACGTTTAGCCCAATCAATAATATCCCAAAATCGAACTTTTTTGCGTCCAGAAGGAGATTTAGAAGCATCTGATCCTTTTTCGTTCTTTTTCAACATATCCCACAAAATTTGAACATCTTCATATTCACATTTCCTCACATCACGGTGTAGCTTTACATGCCCTATAAAATAAAAGTTTCAAGAGCGAATATTCAAGACGTTTATGTTACGAGTTTAATTTCTATGTATCAACCGTACTTAAATAAATTTATATTATATTAATTAGTCAGGTAAAAGAGAACTATAAGTAATTATCTATAATAATTTTATAGTGGGGTTTAGGAAAGGTAACATAACATGTATGCAAATTTTACTTCTACCTTTGAGGGGTAGAAAGTTTGTTTCGATAGACCATCGACTCAAAAGAGAAGCTATTCGAAGGGGGTTGCAAGAAAAATATGACAACAAAATATCAAGATACAAAAAAATAAAACAACATATAACCAAACACATTAAAAAAAAAAAAGAAACTACGCTATTACTAAATACTACTATACTAAGGCTGCCAAGAGATGAGGCTCTAGCCTAATCCCATATAAAGGGCGACAAAACCTGACTACCTATATGGATAAAATGAAGGAGAGTCAAATCAATATAAAGGGCTCAAAAAATTGAAAAGAGAAGGTAGACAAAATAAGCACAATGACAATGATTAGTGAAGAACAATCCTCTTTATGTTTCAATTCAAGTCATCAATTTCATTGAGTTATTATTAGCTTATAAGATATGAAATGACACTACAATATTCCCAATGGAAGATGAATTGAAATTGCATAAATTAAGTAGATGATGTTGGAGGAGAGCCTCACGTAATTAGTAAAGTCGATGTCATGTGATCAGGAGATGAAATGAATTAATGAGAACATAACTAACCAGTTTTACGAATGCGAATACGTGTTGAAACTCTACTCCAAGCTTTGCGCATAGGATCCATCATCTTCTCCCACAACTCCATCAACAATTTAACCAAAAAAAGAATTTCCTTTTCCCTAATTTGTGTATGTGCAACCTGAAAAAGAAAAAGCAAAAGAAATACTCTCTCTTCTCTCTCTATTTTATAAGAAGAGAGATATGGAAAGGGATATTTGTTGTAGAAAATAAAAATAAAGTTTGTTGGTTATTTAAGGTTTTCTTTTGTCCTCCATTTGGTGGTTAATCATAAACGAGAATAGTTAGGGAAAAAAATGGAAGGAGATTACTCTACACTTTTACGATATTTCTAGAATCATTTTTTTCTTAAAATTTGAACAGTATCATATAAATTAAAACAAACCGAATCAATGATTGTTGTTTGGTGATTGAGACATAAGGAATGCGGCAATGCAGGCTTCTAGATACTTTATTTGCCACGTGGGACCAAACTATACTCATTGGATTGACCGGCCAACGTGTTTGTATGATTTTTTGTGGCCTGGTGAAAATCATTGTCACTCCAGGTGGTTTTAACTATGCCGTGGTCGCCAAGTCAGAATTTAAAATTTATGAAAATTTTAATTTGAATTTTGATTTTTGAATTAAAGAAATTATAGTTTATATTCATTTCAATCAAAGTTCGGAGTAGATTGGAATTTTTAAATTTGATTTTTGTTTAATTAATTTAAATATTTTAATTTTTTAATTGTGAGTAGGGGTATCAAATGGATGGGTTGGGTTGAAATTTGAGATATTAAAATGGGTTGAAATAGAAATTGGGTTGGGTCCTAACCCTCCCAAGTTTACTTGGGCTCAAATGGGCTTAAAACGGGCTGAGACTTGACCCACTTAATCTCAATAATTTTAATATATTGTTATTTAAGTTTTATAACCACAATTTGAATTTCAACTCAATATATATATATTTTTAAAAGTTACAAATGAATAGATAAATCCTAAAAGAAATAAAATAAATAATAATTCATATATTCAATATTTGAACATACATTACATAAATGCAAATAAAGAGTCTTAAAACGGGTTGAAATTGAAGATTAAATTGGGGACAATTGAGGATTCTCTTAAAATGAGTTAAGGCTTGAATGGACCAAATTCAAATTATCTTGAGCCCAACCCTTAAAATTCTGGACGAATTAGCTATAGTCGGGCTCATTTTTTACACCCCTAATTGTGAGCATGTATGTTGTGTTGCTTCTTGCAAAAATGAACGTTCAAATCAAGTATTCATATTAAATTGCTTTAATAGTTTCTCATTGGACGATCATGATACTTCGAAAAATGGAAGAAGAACATCACCATTTTTGTTCAATAAAATGAATGACAAGAACATTGCACAAGAAGGCTGAGGCTATGTATAGAACTTTCATCCACCAATACACAAAATTAACAAATAAAAATCAATGCGATTTTCAAAAACTTTTTTTTTATATCTGTTTTTTTCACATAATCATCAAGGAGTAAGACAAGTATAGACTAATCAACAGTAGTGACATTGTTGATCACTCAGTTGACTGATTTAACTTTCTTTTGGTTCAATCTTAGAGAGAATTTTTGATGCATCCATAGCGCGGCGTAGAAATTAATCAGAAAATTTCTTCAAATTTGCAACGTACGTCAAATATATAGTCCATGCATATGAAAATGAACTATTAACCAATGGCTGCGAAAGAGACATTAACAAATTCTCAGTGATCGGAGTGATAGAAGGAATTGAACTGAGGATTTAACTCAATTTGAAATAAGTGAAACAGGGCAAAAATAAGCTTTTTCAAAAAGACATTACACATAAACATATACTCAAACTTGATCTCAGTTGGCAAGTAAGCACTCGAACTTTGAGAGTTCACATCTAGACACCTCAACTCATGTTCAGTGTGTCAGTTGAACACTCCAACTTATAATAGACACCTCTAAATTTATGTCTCATGTCAGCATTGGGTGTCCACGAGACACATCAGGGGTGAGTTGGAGTGCTTATTTAGCAGCTGAGGCAAAAATTGTGTGTTTGTTTATGTATTATGTCTTTCAGAAAGGCTAACAGTTAGAGCCCAGAAGTTCTGGACAAATAATGCACAAACTCTATTGAAACAAAAACTAGGAATGTGAATACCTGCAAATGGACAGGGACTACTTTATATGCCAAGAAATCACACAATGGCCAGTACATAAGTCCATTAGTCATTGTCGGGATCAGGTCTCGTTTCAATCTTACAGCGATTTCCTCTCCATTTTCACCTGAACATCACAACAAAATAGACTAAACGAATTAGAACATGTTGAGAGAAATGAAATGGCAAGTCTAAAAGCAAGGGCAACATAAGAATCAGTTCAGCCAACAAATGATCGTATACTTCTGTATGTTTTAACTCGTCCTTGAGCTATATAGGGCAAAGAATTAAAACCACAGTGCCAACATAATTTTGGGACCTCAGGGATGATAAAACTTCTAGACAGAGTAATGTATCTTTTAATGGTTCTCCCAAAAGTTAAATCTAATGCTAGTACAACAATTTCGAATTGACGACAATTGAATATCCTCCAGCCATTTTACTTGGATGCATTCACTTTGTTATGAGAATCAACTCATTTAACTTTGAAAATTACTTCACATCTTAAATTATCTTATTTCACCTCAACTCACTGTTTCAGAATTTTCTTAATTTCTCAATACTCTTTTTAAGTAGTAACTATAAACTGAACATGCATCATGTTGTTTTCTGCTATCTGGTTAGCCACTAAGAACGAATTCTCACATGTTATCCACCGTGTTAGTGCATAATGTTCCATGCTTAATGTTAATGTAGTAGTCATAAATATATTCATGGGAACATTTCTCACAGTATCAGTGCATAAAGTTCCATGATTAATGTAATAGTTATACTACTACAACAACAACATACCCAGTGTAATCCCACAAGTAGAGAATCTGAGGAGAGTAGCCTTACCCCTACTTTGTAAAGGTAGAGAGGTTGTTTCCGATATTCATATGCATCCAAGTATGATATTACCAACAAGTAATAGCCATATACATTTACGCTATTAGAGATTTCTAGAGAAGTATATTAGCTTTGAGCAAATACATATGGTGTGGTGATGATCCATAGACTAATCAAGAAAAGTAGTAACATAATTGAGCAACAGTTAAAATGAATACATACCTTGTAGAGCTGCATTGAAAGAGATGTTGTGTTGTTCCTAAGATGATCAATGCATACCCAGCCATTCGCAGAGTCCTTATTATATCTAGAGAATCTGAAGGTGTCATCGTAATCATCTGACCAATACAAACCACATCATTATACCTAGAGGTGGAACCAAGATTTTATGTCAGTGGGTTCTAAATTTTAAAAAAAGAAACAACGATCTTAACCTAAACTAACAATCATCAAATTAACGAACAAATACAAGTATTTAATTCACTAAAAATGAATAAGGAAAGAAATGAAAAGAGAGAGACGAGTACACACCGGAGGCCAAATGTTGGATAGCAACAATTAGATCAACAATATAGTTAGAACCCTAACTTTTGGAGAAAAAAATTGAGTTAAACTTTTTGAATGTGAGTAGAAATCAATAGTCAGATATTGTAGTTTCATAGTACGATAGTAACGATACAAATACTATTTTCCTTTTTTTTTATTTTTTTAAACCAATCTATGTTTTTAATTAATTATTACCGAGTTTTTATTTTTTATTTTTTAAATTAATTACGACACAAATATTATTTCCTTACCGATATTCTATTTTTATATTATATTTTATATAAACACGCGTTTAGAAATTAATCCAAAAAAATTGTGTGCCTACCGAGATTCAAACCCACACCGCAGGGGGTGAACAATCTCGCTAGGTGCACAACGACGACTGGGTCAAACGCTTCAGTGTGTTTATGGATTTGTAGGAAATATATATATACACACATTGTATTTCATAGTTTGATACAAATATATGATCTACGGAAAAGTCAGTGGGCTCAGCCGAACCCCCTTCCGCTACAGTACCTCTGCCCCTGATTATACCATCAAAAAAAGATTTAAACATTATTCAAATTTTCAAATATCTGATCAAATTAAAGTAGTAAAATCAAAAGTAACAACTATAACTATGCCACAATACCGAACTAGTTAGGGTCACGTACAGAGACGGACACATAGTAAACAATAGATCTACTACTAAGTTGATGGCATGACAGGAATACATGTCAAATACTACATATTATTGGAACTACATAAAGAGAATGTCATTTGATCAAGAAAGAGGTCTTTTTTTACTTTATTGATTTTGAACATAACTTTTTTCACTATAACAATGAGAAATTGTTTTGAAAAATTAAAATGGAAACTAACAATTGCAATCACTTGTTAACTGATTAAGTCATTCTCCTAAATTAGAAATATAGGAACTTTTGATAATCCTCAAAGCTTCTTTTTATGCTTGTAACATTCTGTCCAGAAGTTATTCAACTGCTACATGAATACATACCAAATATTAAATATAGAATTACATGGAAAAAACCTCTCAGCTAAAGAAATTTGGTATGTATTCATGTAGCAGTCATTTTATCGTCCACTGGATCTTCCTTGCAGTCATTTTATTTATAGTTATAATGTTTGGGTCAATTTTCGCGCACCTCTTACTGTCTTGCTATTTGTCTATTCGAAGAAAAAATGGAACAACAAATTAAATGCCAATACATGATAAACGAATACAAATGAATATATATAATACTCAAAATTACATAGTTGATCTAAAGAAGGCAAAAAAGGATATCCATAAGAAAATAATTAATAACCAAAACCAACAAGATATTTCCCAAATGTGCCTTCTACAAATAATCCTGCTGCAGCCTAAAAATAAAAATGGCAACAGAAAACTTTAAATAAGTTAACTGAGGCATATTACCAAACAAGTTGGATGCACAATTCACTTAAAAATTTAAAAAATATATATACTGCAAGAACCGATTTCAATTTGTTCTTGGCGTCTTCATTAGAAAATTCAATAAAGTATAATTTTCCAGAGACTGGAAATTTGCTACTCTTCTTCCTTAATCTTTCGAAAAATCAACTCGCACATTCATGGAAGCCTAGAATTACATCAATTAACAGATCTCCCATTTTCTCCTTTTTGAAACGAATAAATTGCTGTAATATACGGTTGTATATAACCATTTTCCCAATCAATGGATCCGTCTATCATGAAGCTCCTTGAAGAAGACGAGGTTGGTACTTTTTTTTTTTTTTTTGCGAATTAGCCCTTTTCATGTACTGGGTCACAGATATGTATGTTTATGGTTACAATGGTGGATTTATGTGAATTTTGGATATAAATATAGGATGAAACAATGCATTCGGGGGCGGATGTGGAGGCATTCACTGCTGCCCTAAACAGGGATATCGGTGGAGATAATTCACAATCTCAGCCTTCGGATTCCGATAGCGGTAATATATTATCACTATTTAGTAATTAAATTTTGTCAATTTCATTATAGATTGTAATTCAACTAAGTTTATTGCCAACTGCAAAGATTAGGCTAAAATTCTGGTCATTAGATGTATATTGGTTCTTGAGTGAGTAGTGTTTTTTGGTAAAGATTGTGATATGTTGGCATTACTAACATGGGAAAATAAGTAGTAGGGAGACTGCTAGGGTGAGTAATTGCTAATGGAAGGGTAGAAGTAGGGGAAGTTGTAGTTGTTGTCAAGAATTTGGAGGGGAGAAAGTGTGGGTACTTTATGGCACCTATGGAAGTTTTGTGGTGGAGAGAAGCTAAATTATTGCAAAGTTGTTGGGTGTGCACTGTGCATGGGGTGGTTTGGAACCATCATAGATTCACAATTTGACTAAGTAACAATGAAGTATAACAGTAATGCAGTGTAAAACAAGGATATCAGCTGTTCTTATCCCTATTGCTAAGAAAACTTTGGATGAAGGTCTAAGTATTAGATGTCAACTATTTTATTTAGGAGCTTTAGCATTTTTACGTCAAAATAAATTCTTTAAGTAGTATCGGAATTTAGTTGACACAGGGCTTATTCATCTAACTGAATTATTGTTATTTCAATTCTATTGTTCATATGATTATTGTTATTTTTCTATTATTACGTGTACATCTGTTCCTATTGTGCATTTCCTAAAACACACTTTGAATTCACTTGGTGCTTGAAGCCAGCAGACCTTGGTGCCTTCTAGCTTTTCACCTTTAACACTGAATTATACTAATAGAGTTTTCCCCTACTCAAGAAAGCAGTATTTACGATGCTACTTTTTTTTTAAAAAAAAATAAGTATTTTTGTATTATATCACAAAAACCCACTGAAACCATTATATACAGATGTCTCCTTTCCCACTGGTTTCAGTCTATATTGAGTCTAAAACATTAATTACTGATACAGTGGCACTGGAGTATACTTGATTACTCCAAAAACATAACAATAAAGTGCAGTTTAACTTGACTTTCTAGACATCATTCTCTATGCTCTCAAAACACCTAGAATTCCTTTCTTTTCAAATAGTCCACCATATACTAGCAGGGATAATTCTCCATCTGTTTCTGTCCTTTGCATTCACCCCTGCTGCCTCCCAACTCTTCAAAGCCTCTGATACCTTTCTGGGCATGGTCCAAGAGATGCCTTTGAGGTTCAGAAAAATTCTCCATAGTTAGGTATACTTGCAGTGTAGGAACAAATGGTTCACCGTCTTTAATGCCTCCCCACAAAGGAAACAACTATAGCAACCCTTCGGGGTGGCCCAGTGGTTTGAGCTTGGGAGTTCCATGTTGGAGGTCTCAAGTTCGAAACCCTTGCCAGCGAAGCAAGGGGTTTTGCCTTCTGGGTCGAGCTCGTCGCACCAGGCTTGCCTAGTGCGGTTTACCTCTCCTATGTGGTTTGCGAGCTATTGCATAGGAGCGGGGGTTTTACCCTGTGTGCACCCAAAGGGTAGCGGCTGCGGGTTTCCCTTGTCATAAAAAAAAAAGGAAACAACTATAGCAAAGGTCAATGTTCCTTTTTATCTTCTTTTAATGTAGGTCAAACCCATTTCAGCATTAACAGTAATAATGTTTCCGGATCCCTCTATTACATTTTGCCTCTGTTGCTTTAGTATCACCCTCCTATTATCTCATTCTTCGATTTCTTATTAGCGTATGTTATTTCTTTTGCTTTCGGCTGTTGTATTATTTGCTATTGATACTGTTTTGTTCTTCACTACGGTATTTCCTTTTCAAACTTGCTTTAAACTGCTTTATTTGAGCTGAAGATCTTTCGGAAACAACTTCTTTACCTCCACAAGTTGGGGATGTGTATCCATCACCCTCCTCAGAACTCACTTATGGACACGCTAGGTATGTTGTTGTTGTAATGTATGTCAAACCTCCTCAAGCAGGAGTCAAACAATGGTTTTTCTTGCTTTGTCCTCTTGATGGCTCGAACCCTTTACCCTCATTGTTGTAGGTGAAGGGCCCTTTTGACTAAGCTATCTTCCCTTGCCTTAACAAAGAGAAGAAATGTTTTTCCAGTTTGCAAATTCATCTGTGTTTCATATATCAGCAGAGTAAACATTTCAGAGTTGCATGAGAATATCTAAGCTGAAAGAGTGTTGATGTGAAGACGATTTGTGATTGTGGTCAGAACTTTTGTCTTAGAAAGCTACTTTATCTTCATCACTTGCTTACTTTGTCTTCTTTCAGTATTCTGTTTCTCCTTCCTTGGAAACAATCTTATCTTTTGCATAATTTACAAACAGTACCATTGTCTCAAGGAAGCAGTTATACCTCAAATCAGTTTGCCCCATGGCAAACTGCTAACCATGACGAAAATGCCAGTTGTTGTAGCCTTCAAGATTCAGAGACCATGCAGCCAAAGGAGGAAAATTTGTCTGATATGCAGTTGAAGAGACTTGATACAGATTCTCAGAATCAGCAGCAAAAAAATGATTCATCACAGGAGATCAATTCCCTTCCTTTGCAGCATATATCCCAGGACAGTTATCACACCACAGAGGTTGAACAGGACACACTTCATTCTTCTAGAGCAGTGAGTATGCAGAATCCTGAAAAGAATACGCAAAATCCAGAATCTCCACATCTAAATTTACAGGGGGTAAATAATCTACAATCCATGCAGTCTTTGACTACAGGAACTAGTGGTCTGCCACGTGTGGCAACAGTGGCAAGTAATCAGTCAGAATCTGCAACTGGGTCGAGCAGCCAAGCAGCAATGAATATAGCTAAACAGGGAAAACAAGTTCCTTTTGCCATGCTTTTCCCTCACATACAACCCCAACTTGATAAGGACAGGGCAGCGCAACTCCAGACACTTTATGTTAAACTCAAAGTAATGTTATAGCTGACTTTTTTGTGCTCATTTTGCCTTTTCTGTTATGTTAGTTTTGTCATCAATTGGAGTATGTATACAGAAAAATGAAATTTCCAAGGAAAGTTTTGTAAGGAACATGAGAAGTATAATTGGTGACCAGATGCTCAAAATGGCTGTATATAAATTTCAATCTCAGGTAGATGAAGCAGCACTTTCAGTTGTTACATCAATAGTGAAATTCTCAATCATTGTGTATTAACTCTATATCAAAGTTTAATTCAGGCATCGAAAAACTCACAGTCTGTTCCCGGTCAATTTCCTCAGTCTCAGGCTTCGCAGCAGCAACATTCGCTCATGCCAGCTGATGGTACCTTTGTTCTCTTAATCTCTTTGGTCTGTTCTAATCAGGTTTGAGCTTATTTCTGACCTTACTTCTCTACCGTTGCTCCTATTCGAATTTGGACAGATTCTAGCAATATGGCAATTGAGAGTAAAGCTCAAAAGTTGCACGAGGTGGAAAACCAAGCCGATCTGCGTGGAGCCCAAGGAAGCCAGATGCCTTCTTCTGGTTTGACTTCTGTAAAACAAGAAAGGGATCACACACCATTTCCAATTCAGGGACTTAACAGACAACAGCAACAACATTTACACTTCTCACAGGCATCTTTTCCCACATTTGCAAATGCAGGGAACAATTACAGTGCATATTCTGCATCTAATGTCAACTCTTCAACTACACAACCTCTTAAACAGCAATCTGATGATGCACAAATGAGACAAATTTCAGTTCAACAGAACAGAAATGCAACTCAGTTTGGAGTGCCAACACAGGCCATGGGAATAATGAGTGCCCCTAAGTTTGAAAAGCAAAACACTTTTGGCGAAGCCAAAAGATTACCTGGTGGGGGTCTTAATATTTCAAGTACTTCAAGAATCCAGCAGACCTCAGTTCAGTGGCAACCCTCTGCCAATAAAGAGCAGAAAAGTATTCTTTCATCACCAATGACCAATCCAAAGCCTGAACCAATTGATCATTTCCATGACCAGCTACATAGATCCCAGTTATCGCCCTTCTCCTCTGTTCAAGTGGATCAAGGAAATTCCACTTCGGAAAGTTCAAGGGATGAATCTATTGAACAGACCTCCAGAATTGGTTTATCATCAACGACTAGCATGAAACCTTCAAATTCAGCCTCGTCTTCCATGTCATCTCATATGGACACTAGCACATTGGTAATTTTCTTGGTTTGCAACTTTGCATCCTGGCTTGATTTATTGACTTCTCAAGTGAGGATATATTATAGATTGTAGAAGTATAAGAACATGTTTTTTATACATACATGCATGCATACATACATATATGTATGCATATGTATACATAGATATATTTCTAGACATGCATTTTAAAATAAATAAATTCTGTGTCACTATTTTTTTGGCTGACTTTTCCCTCTCTGCTCTATGAATTGACTGTTTCATTATTGAACTATAACTAATGAAACTCCTCTAAAAAAGAAATTTGAAAAGCTTGTCTATGGAGAACTCTCTATATTTTACAGAAGAACCGCTCATGTTACTACCCAAGATTATGAATGTACTGTCTACTTTGGCCCTACAGACCTCAGGGATTTGTCCCTTGGACTACACCTTCAGGAATAGGAGATGAGAAGAATGGAGAGGGTAGAGTTCAACTTTTTGCTTTTGAATTGAATTTAGGGAGTGATAGGAAGGGAGCAGGGGAGAGAGGGAGTAATAAGGTTATGAACAAGTGATAAAGTTTATATCTGTCCAAAAGTGAGCAGAAAATGAGAGAAGCTGACCTCTTTTATAGTGCCAAAAAAAACTACAATCTTACT